GCAGGTATAATTTGCCAGTGGTAGAGGTGAAGCATTTTCGCATTTTAATAGAACCTTTTAAATTGCTTGACACAAACGAGTAAATAAACAATGCTATTCATTGATACACACGGACACAAACAAAAAGAAGCACAAGAATATGTTTAGTCTTCTGCAAGAAAATAGACGATTAAAAAATACAGTATGACAATACATTTATATACGAAGAAAAGTTGGGTTTCGAAGAATCTCTTGTTTCATAATTGTTGGGATTGCTTCCATTTCGAGTAGAAGTGTTGGGTGAAGGGATTCGAAGGTCGGTTCCACCAGAAGACGACGGCGAATTTCTCTTGACCAGCTGTCGATTGGCTTTACTGGCAGATTCATGCTGACGCTGTTTCCGAGGTAATCTTCTTCGATTCCGGTGCAAACTTGCTTAGTTTCGTGCGTCGGAGGTCGGTTCCACCAGAAGACGACGGCGGATTCCTCTTGACCAGCTGTCGATTGGCTTTACTGGAAGATTTGTGCTGACGCTGTTTCTGAGGCAATCTCCTTCGATTCTGGTGAAAACGTGCTAAGCTTTCGTCCGTCATCCGGTGACGCTATTTCCGAGATAATCTCCTTCGATTCAGGTGAAAAGGTGCTAAGCTTTCGTCCATCATATGGCGAAAATCATCAGAGCAAGGCGGTTCCACCAGAAGACGACGGCGGATTCCTCTTGACCAGCTGTCGATTGGCTTTACTGGAAGATTCATGTGGGTGAAGAGATTCGAAGTTCGATTCCACCAGAAGACGACGGCGGATTCCTCTTGACCAGCTGTCGATTGGCTTTACTGGAAGATTCATGCATTTCCGAGGTAATCTTCTTCGATTCCGGTGAAAAGGTGCTAAGCTTTCGTCCGTCATATGACGAACATCATCCAACACTTATACTCGAAATGGAAGTAATCCCAACAATGATAATACATTTGCCTAAAGGGCTCATTGGTGCGACCGATCTTAAAAGTTATGCGGGATCATTTGATTGGTCAATAGACGCCGATCATAAACTTCTGGACCGAATAATGCTCTTGTAAAGAATGGCAAAAAAGCTTTATTCGAATCTAAAGTATCAGGGTTAAAAGCGGATTAGGTACGTTCGACGACCCTTATAGAATGAAAGCCAATAGCTGCGGGCCGAAATCCCATACTTTGATGGAAAAATTACAACTATACAAATGAGCAACA